TTTACTTGTAACGTCCGGGATCAGTAAGCTGGCCGGAACAGTAAGCTGGCCGCCCCACCAAACTCGACGCGACACTCTACACAACAACCATAATGCCGCGACAACAACGTTCTATACAGACTTCTCGTGAAGGCAGAATAAGTCTTGCTATGGCGTCCTATTATAATAATCCAAAACAATCTATCTACTCTCTTGCGAAAGCGTACGACGTGCCAAAATCGACGCTCCAGACACGCCTCCGCGGTATCCAGCCACGATCAGAGGTTCCGTCTGCTAGGCGTAAGCTATCACCTGTCGAAGAGCAGTCTCTTGTTCAGTGGATTCTAGAGCTAGATCGACGAGGCTTTCCGCCCCATATCATTGACGTGCGACGGATGGCAGACGCGTTACTCACAGCGCGTGGCCAAGATCCACCTCCACAACCTGTAGGCAAAAAATGGGTGTCACGCTTTATCCAGAGCCAGCCAGAGCTTCAGACAAAGTGGACTAGGAGATTGCATAGCCAGCGTGCCTCCTGCGAGGATCCTGTCGCAATCGCAGCCTGGTTTAAGCTAGTAGAGGAGACGCGCCAGACGTACGGTATCCTAGATCAAGACATCTACAACTTTGATGAGACTGGCTTCGCGATGGGCGTCGCTAGCACGTCTAAGGTAGTCACTAGCTCTGATAGAGTTGGTCGCGCAGTTATCGTACAGCCAGGCAATCGCGAGTGGGTGACAGCGATCGAGTGTATTAATGCATCTGGCTGGTGTCTTCCACCCTTCGTGATCCTGTCTGGTAAGGTCCACCAGGATATTTGGTATCGTAACCTCCCACTAGACTGGACTATCGGCGTCTCAGACAACGGCTGGACGACAGACGAGCTAGGTGTAGAGTGGGTGAAGCACTTCAACCAGCATACAGCCGCTCGTACGGCTGGAGTCTATCGTCTTCTTATCCTAGACGGCCACAGTAGCCACGCTACACCAGAGTTTGACCAGTACTGCACAGAGAACAAGATCATCACTCTCTGTATGCCGCCTCACACGTCGCACCTCCTGCAGCCTCTAGACGTGAGCTGCTACTCCCCTCTCAAGCGTGCGTACGGACGCGAGGTAGAGGAGCTCGCCCGCCATGGCGTCTACCATGTTGACAAAACAGACTTTCTTACAGCCTATACACGGATCCGGCCGACTGTATTCACGCAGCAGAACATCCAGGCAGGCTTTCAGGCGACAGGCCTTGTCCCTCCTTATCCAGATCGCGTCCTATCGTCGCTAACTGTCGTCCGAACGCCGTCTCCATCACAGACTACTATAGATAACAACGTTGCAGCGCAGACAGTAGCGCAGACAGAGACACCACATACAGTAGCAGAGGTTCAGCAGCAGCTACGCTATCTCCAAGAGCGGCTGCGCCGGCAGCCAGAGAGCCCAACAAGCGTCGCGATACGCCAGCTCGCGAAAAGCGCTCAGCTCGCGATGCAATTAGCAACAATACTTATAGAGGAGAATAAGAAGCTACGTGCAGAAAATCAACGTTAATAACAGAAGCAGAGTCAGCAGCGTTAATATATAGCTTCTGGTGGAGCCCTCCAGGTGCAGCAGGCTCAGCAGCTTACTACAGAGGCAGAAAGGGTGGTCATGGAGGCTAGCCAGAGCCAGGCGGGTGAGAGACGCCAGCGCGCGCCGCCAACGTGCACGAAGTGCCACACCCAAGGTCATAAAAGGACTCAATGTAGACTATAATAGACTACCTTATAATAAGATATAATTATATTATCTCTTGTTGTTGTGGCTCAATTGTGCAGAATGTCGCGTCGAGTTTGGTGGGGCGGCCAGCTTACTGTTCCGGCCAGCCTACTGATCCCGCACGTTAACGTGTTTTATCAGTAAGCGGCCCACATCAGTAAGTGGCCCACCCCACCAAACTTAGCCCAACACTCTACACAACCACCACTATGCCGCGACAACAACGCTCTAAACAGACTTCTCGTGAAGCTAGAGTACTTCTAGCATCTCGTGCGCTTCAAGAGAAACGTATAATAAGCCAGCGTCAAGCTGCTATGCTATACGACGCTCCACGAACGACGCTCCGACGACGCCTTCGCGGTACCCAGCCGCGATCAGAGACAGCCTCTGTCAATCGCAAGCTATTAGCTATTGAAGAGCAGTCTCTTATTCAATGGATTCTAGAGTTAGATCGACGAGGTTTTCCGCCCCATATTATTGACGTCCGACGGATGGCAGACGCTCTACTCGCCGCGCGTGGTCAAGATCCACCTCCAGCACCTATAGGCAAATGCTGGGTGTCGCGCTTTATCCAGAACCAGCCAGAGCTCCAGACAAAGTGGACTAGGAAGTTTAGTAGCCAGCGCGCTCTTTCTGAGGATCCTATCGCAATCGCAGCCTGGTTTAAGCTAGTAGAAGAGACGCGCCAGACGTACGGCGTCCTAGACCAAGACATTTATAACTTTGACGAGACTGGCTTTATGATGGGCGTCGCTGCGACGTCAAAGGTAGTAACTAGCGCTGATAGAGTTGGCCGGGCAGTTGTCGTACAGCCAGGTAATCGCGAGTGGGTGACAGTAATCGAGTGCGTTAACGCGTCTGGCTGGTCTCTCCCACCGTTCGTGATCCTCTCTGGTAAGGTCCACCAGAGCAGCTGGTACCGCGACCTCCCACAAGACTGGACTGTCGCAGTATCAGACAACGGCTGGACGACTGATCAGCTTGGCGTAGAGTGGATGAAGCACTTCAATCAGCATACAGCGGCTCGTACGGCTGGAGTCTATCGGCTGCTTATCCTAGACGGCCACAGCAGCCACGCTACGCCAGAATTTGACCAGTTCTGTACAGAGAATAAGATTATCACTCTCTGTATGCCGCCTCATACGTCGCACCTTCTACAGCCACTTGATGTAAGCTGCTTCTCACCACTTAAGCGCGCGTACGGGCGTGAGGTGGAGGAGCTCGCCCGCCAAGGCCTCCACCATATTGACAAGATAGACTTCCTTACAGCCTATACGCGGATCCGGCCAATAGTATTCACGCAGCAGAACATCCAGGCAGGCTTCCAAGCGACAGGACTTGTCCCTCCTTGTCCAGATCGCGTCTTATCGTCGCTTACAGTTATCCGTACGCCGTCTCCACCACAGACAACCACAGACAATAACGCCGCTACGCAGACAGCAGCAGCGCAGACAGAGACACCATGTACAGTAGCAGAGCTTCAGCAGCAGGTACGCTATCTCCAAGAGCGACTACGCCGACAGTCAGAGAGTCCAACAAGCGTTGCGATACGCCAGCTTGCTAAAAGCGCCCAGCTTGCAATGCAATCAGCGACGATACTCGCGGAGGAGAATAAGAAGCTACGTGCAGAAGTCCAGCGTCAACGACAAAAGCAGAGTCAGCAGCGTCAATATATTGCTTCTGGTGGAGTGCTCCAGGTGCAGCAGGCTCAGCAGATAGCTGCAGAGGCAGAAAGGGTGGTAGTGGAGGCTAGCCAGAGCCAGGCTGGTGAGCGACGTCAGCGCGCGCCGCCAACGTGTACGAAGTGCCACACTCAAGGTCATACACGGACTCAATGTAGACAGCAATAGACTACCTTATAATAATGTATTACTATATTATCTCTTGTCGTTGTTGATTAATGGCGCAAAGCGTAGCGTCAAGTTTGGTGGGGTGGGCCACTTACTGATGTGGGCCGCTTACTGATAAAACACGTTAAGCTTTTCTCTTAGTAAGCAGCTAGGTGGTCTGTGTGTTTTTGTTTTCGTGAGTGAGACGTGTTCAAATTCAAAAACACGACAAACAGCGAGAAATCAGTTTTTGGAATTATCGTCACAAGGGGTTGGAGATACACCCGCCAATGGCCGCAGCAGTCTCTGCAGGCCATCGCGCGTCCCCTCGCGTCGGTTTGGCACCTGCAGAGCCGCTGTTGCGGCCCTGGCTCGCATAGACAGCAGAATTTGCGAGCAAGCTACTTAACATGACACGACCACCAAATACGGCGGCAGCCATCTAGCCACAACACAGCAACGCAAGACGCGATGACGGAGCCCAGACATCCCACCCAGCATCATAGTTACATCACGCACACCCAAAGTCATCGATGGGCTTCCTGGTTAGTCCATCACCGTCCGACAATGTCTGCAACATCCCGCATCGACGAGTCCTGGAGCTGAACGGCATCATCTCTCACGCGAACTACCTCGCAGACACCCAGAATGCTACCATTGGTGCCATTACATACTTACAGATCACCAGACAGCCTCGTCCACTGTCGCCCCACGTGTTGAAGGACTGGTCCCCCTTCGACACACCTGACAAGGTCTGAGGAGGTTCGCATGAGAGCTCTCATGCTTAGTAGGCTTGACGACACGCACGAGCGGAGCATCGCTCCTGTGAAACTGCGTTGTGACGAAATGCTGCTGCCGCTGTGCCCGGTGGCAGGTCACACCACAAGATACGGCCACATGGGAACCTAGTGGACGGCATCATAACACTTGAAGAACATCAGAGATTGGGGAACATACTTTGAGCCCTAGGGGTATTAGGGCAAGCTAGCACACACGACAGCTGAACGCTAGGAGGAGACTGAAGGTATTACAGACGCAAAGCATGAGGCAACTGTGTCTCTACGAGCCTTGAACAACGCTGCACACATGAGGCTTCGAGTACGGCATACACATAGAAACACAGTTCGCAGAACACAAACATAGGCAAAAGACGTCACTTCTACAGACGAAATGTACATAGTCGTAGATAGAAGCCAGACAACGGCAGGCCTCTGAGGACAGATGGCTCTTTCGAGAGTGAAGTGGGGCGTTGTGGACTCACGTCCGCATCGCGTCGGCTGTCTGCCATGTCTGTCATCCGGGCATAGCTGCGGAGAAAACGCGGCTGAAACCGAGTAGGACAAAATCAATCAATCAATCAATCAATCTAACTAGCGTCACATCCTCTCCTCCCCACAGCTGGTCGTGCTGATTGAGGTCGCCGGCCAGCACCACGTCCACTACCGTGCCGGCCCTTCTTCTTGCATCTTTAACCACCGTATTTAGCTTGTTGCATGCGTCTCGCAGTGCTTGCCAGTCTCCTCCTGGTATGTACACCGACACCACCAACGCCCGACGCTCGTGCAGTCGGATGATTGCTGCTGTCAAGTCCGGCGACTCTACCCGTACCTGTTCCGCTTCTATCTCTCTGTTCACCCACAGCATGCTCCGTATCGGCCACCTTCCTTCTCGCCAGGTCGATGGCACTATCTTGATCCACTTGTGGTGTGAGTTGCGCCAAGAAGAGTTGCGCCGAAGCGCCGGGATTAGTTACTGTACCTCCGTACCGTGGGTGCGAAACGATGATCTGTTAGGCTTAGTTGAAAGCGATACTTAGCATTCTATAGTAGCGCGCTAGAGAGCTGTATCCGTCTTCAGCAGACAGTCCTACAGCAATACTCAAAATTTCCATGCTTCTAACTATACTTAACGTTAGGGGTTGCTGTATCAAAGCTAGTCCTATCCCACATCGACAATAGCATGGTTCTATACACACCACAAACGCTGGCGGTACTTTGGGAAAAGAAAGGGTCAAGTTATTTGGGTTAGACATCCGGGGATCCTGCAATGTCGTAGAAGGGAGACGATGACCAGATCATCAGCGCTAACACAGAATCTGACCCTGTCCCAAAACTTTAACAGCGCTAGCTTTACAGGGAGGCATGGTTTACGAGCCCTAGCTGTTAATATCAGATGGCAAGGCATATGTGATTGACAATGCCGATTGCATGTTACCTAGCCTAAGGTAGCAACGCGTAATCTAAACAAAGCGCGCATCTCAAAACATGTAACAGCGCTATAAACAGCCTAGTCCTTCTTTATCCCAGTCGCTGTATACTGATTAAGCCACACTTGGAATAAGACACAACTCACCGTATGACAAAGTGGGTCTGAAGATCCTTGCATATACGCTAATGAAGCTATCCGACCAGCCACCTCAGATATATGTGTTTCCCGTCAATGCAGGGTCTCCATCGGCTCACCATTGCTAAACACGGTCAGAGTTAGCTGCATTAGTTAAAATTGACCGGAGACTTGTTGATATATACATAAGGTACGTGTGATCAACAATATTCATTGCGTGTTACCTAGCCTAATGTATCAGTATGCAGCGACGAAGCGTAGAATAAGGCCCTCACTGGGAATTATGGACTATTTAGTGGGTGTAGGCTGGCTGGCAAATGGGTAGGGGTAGACTTGGCTTATGTAGGACCCAACACTATTCCTTCCACGCTAGGTAGCCCATACCTATCTGCCAGCCATATATATATATGTGGGTGTGTATCCATGATGCGCTGCCAGGCAATGTTCCCTGGAGCGCGTATCTTGCGATCAACCGTGCTGTAGATAAACTAGCTCTTATCGGCCTCGGCCGTTCTGTATCGATCAAGCTCTGCTCGGCATAGGGCACAGCTTACTGTATAGCAAACTAGGTATGGAAGCCCCTGGTATGCACCTTGATGGAACCTTCCAGCCCGTCGCCCGAGACAACTAACGTGCAACCCTCCGTGACGGACATCCCGGCGTGCTAGAACTAACCAATCATCTAGCGAGGGTCACATATCCTTGAGGAGTTGATTGATTGGCCAGTTCTGGCACGCCGGGATGTCCGTCACGGAGGGGTGCACTTTAGCGTTTCTAGTTGTTGCAGGGTACTAGATTAGGAGGATAGCTATGCGCCCTTGCATGTATCTTATTTAGACTCATCTTTCTCCTCATTCATGTGTCTCAAGTTGCTCTTGTCAACCAAATGAGTGTCCCTCGTCCTAAGTTGACTCGACGGAGGGGTGCGTGCGAAGAGTGCCGTCAGAGAAAAGTTCGATGTAAGCTTATCCCCTGATGACTAAGGTACACGCTAATGGACACAGGCGATGGAGCAAATCCGTGTAACCACTGCCAAGTATATAAAAACCTTTGTTCATCCTGAGACTCGCCACTAATATCATAACAGCGCAACGAATCTCTATGCGAATACAATATGCGTCGCTCACGACGTCATTTAAAAGAGAAGAATAACCAGAGCCTTGATAAGCACGTCTTGACAGCGGCACAGCCGTATGTGATGAGTGGCAGCACGATGCCCAATTCCTCAACCCCAGATCATTCTTCTGGAGTTGCTGTTATCGGACAGAATGCTGAGGGCCTAGCAAATCTTTTGAACACGCCATTCAGTGAGGAGTGTTTCTCGCAGTTGGTGTCCGATAGTGCGCACTCGTATTTGGACTTCGATTTCTCAGGCGAAACAACACCCGGCACCAACCAAATCCAAATCATAGGTACATATCAGACCCCCTTGGTTTTTTAGTTTTCGGCTCTAGGGAAATGCATCTGTGATTCTTTCCACAACGGAACAAATCGTTGACTAGAGAATAGAGCCAGGTCAGCAAACAAGCAGTCTCCAGAACCAGAGACCATACCATACCCCCAGAACCGGCACGCCCATGCCAGATTGGTTTAGGTTGAGCCACGAACAAAATCTGTACGAGCACAGCGCCGCCCAGTTCTGTGATTTCCCAGAAATTGAGCAAGACGACAATGCCATTGAGTGTACACTTGCGCTCTTCTCAGGACGAATAATAGCCGACAAAGCAGAGGTAAATGCTTTATTATTCCTCACTAATCATCAATATCTAGTCGCTAACACTGCAAAGCCAAAGCCGTTCTCAACCTATAAAACCTATAGAATCACTGCTCTTTTCCAAAACGCATATGGGGAAAGCCGTAGACAACAGGCAGTGTTGGACAAAGTCAAGGTGCTGCTTTCTTTAGAGCATCAGACCTTTCTCACCAGTCTCTTGAGCAAGATTGACTCTGGCAGAGAGCATCAGAGTCTAGACCTAAACGGCCTCCCTGTGAGGAAACTTATTCAGAGTATGTATAGGATGTCGTCTACGAGAGGCCTGCTAATGATTTACAAGGGGCGTTCCGAGAGCCAGGAGGGTGAGTTAGCTAAACAGAAAATGCGCTACATGAACTCATATGTAATATAGGCTAAGTTTGTTTATCAAGGAACAGGAGGTCACGCGCATACAAGAGCGGTTTTTTGATCCAGTAAATTTGCCTATAGAGATTAGCGACATGTCATTGTTAATTGCCTCGCTCGCTTGGGGAGCTTTGTTGGATCCAGAAGTGAGCTCGGTTTCCAAAGCAGCACTACTAGATGCTGTGCTGGAAATTTCAACGTTGCTACTTCGCCAGAACGGTAGCATCCGCCAGTTCTTGGTAGGTTCTTCCATTCGATGACAACCGAGGTTCTGCTAACCTAAGCCAGGCGCTTGTTGCTGTAGTTCGTAAAAGCCCGACCATCTACAGCGAAGCAGTCGGCTAACCTACCCAGCTCTGTCTTGCCGAGAAAATAGGACTAGAAAACCTACCTGCGCTCATAATTGGCAGTGTTTCGATTGCAGCATCCTTGAGTCTCCATTTGGATCCTGTTATACGCAAGCTCTGTGACAGTGACGAGCAAGCCATCCGGACTAAACGAGCCATGTGGCTACTCTACTGCATTGATAAATCACACGCATTAAGGTGGCAAACCTTCTCCGTATGCTCCGCATTTTCATTGAGAGCTATTTAGGACAAGGCTAATACATGGAAAACAGCTAGTCAGCGATGACTCTCTTCCAACTACGAACCCCCCCGATGACGTACTTGAGAATGATTCTGCAACTACACCATCTCTGGAATGGTTATGGATTCGGTCTCAGTACTCTAAAATCTGCTCGAACATTCTGCAGCTCACAGTAAGCGCAGAGGAAAAGCCATCTGAAGATCGTTCAAACAGAGCTGTGACGCTGTCAACGGCGCTGTCAGAATGGTATAGATCAACCAGGATTAGCCAGATGATGCTCTCTCTGGACCATAGTAATGCTATGCGCGCCAAGCTCCAGACGTCCTACTATTACTATGAGGCTCGGTTTCAGTTACTAAGCATAAGCCTACCAAATCCACAATCTTCTTCTCTTGCAGAGTTCCAGGAGTGTAGAGGGCTACTTAAGCGATCAATACGGGAAATTATCGCGCTTTCTCACACCATACCTTCAGAATACCTCGTTCAAGACTAGTAGGTATCCTATGAAATAGCGCGTTCTACAATAGTATTGTACTAATTAATTGTGTCACAGTACCTATCTGTTTATGAATAAGCTTGCTTTGTGCCTGCTTGCGCTAGACATTCTCCTGGATTTGGAGCAGGATTGTGGGAAGGAAAGCCGAGCTTTACTTAGCATGATTGGTGGTTTTTTTGCTAGGGTAGATATGATATTGCCACAAAGTACTATTTTCAAGGGGGTTTCTGATTTAATTGAGATTCTCACATATCGTTGACTCTAAGGCAGAACAAGAGCAAATTATACAAAAACACCAACTTCGAGTTTTCTAGAATAGGTGTAATTTTAGCGAAATATATACAAATCCACACACACACCAACTTCGAGTTTTTCAGAATAGGTGTAATTTTAGCGAATTATATACAAATCCATCCCAAGAAATCGATTACAACTAGTGCCAACTCGTGCAGCCCACGCGCTATAGAGCTAGAAGCTGGTAAAGTAGCTAATCTGAACACGTCTCACTCACGAAAACAAAAACACACAGACCATCTAGTTGCTTACTAAGAAAAGAGCTTAGTAATAAAATGCCGCCAGACAGTGATACTATTGTAGTCAATACTCAAGAAAACAGACAGGAGAGCCTAGGGCCAGAGGCCCAAACTGATAGAGAAATGGAGATAGAGTCTACTCCAGCTACACCTACTCAAAACCAACAAACACCTAGCGTGTTTGAAATACCAATACTACCACCAAACAAACGATACGCCAACTTCTCACCAGAGAATACCTATAGAGGTAGAAATCCATACCAGAATACCTCTAGCCTAAAACCAATCGCCAAGAACTCTGAACAGGCAATCTATTG